GGCCGCCTCATGGGAGGTCAGAGAGCCCAGTGCTTCTGATCCTGCACACGGGGCAGGGGTCTTACAGGTCATGGGCTCAGAAGCAGGGAAGGATGATTCAGGGGATGGGTCTGCAGACCAGGGCAGGGCAGGAGGGCTGGCAGAACGTGGAAGGCTGGCAGGAGGGAATCACATACACAATGCGCTTGTAGCACACGGGGACATATAGGACATGTTTGCAGCTCAGAGGCACACAGCAGGATGCCTGGCAGGGGCTGGACACACAGCAAACATCCTGGCAGGAGCTGGACACAGAACAAGTGTCCTGGCAGGGACCGGGCACACAGCAGGCTGGCCGGCACAGCAGAGCCACGTGGGGAGCGCCACAGGGGTTTTGGCAGCCCAGGGCAGGGCAACAGACAGCAGGGCAGGCCAGCTGGCAGGAACTGGGCACACAGCAGGCCGGCTGGCAGCCCGCAGAGCAGCTGGTGTCACACATGGTGGTGTGAGGCTCGGAGGGGTCGGGACAGAGGACAGGGCTGGTCTGGAGGCTCCCTCCCCAGGGTGCCTTTTATACCTGGGCCTTGGCGTCCTGGCAACGAGGCACTGGGTGTCTTCCTTGTGGCCGCCTGTTGTTTTTCCTCCTCCTCCCCCAGGGTCTCTTCCTGGAGCTTCTGGTTGCTGTGACTCAGTTCAGGAAGCTCCTTCAACTGGAGGCTGACGGTGACCCAGTGGCCCTGGGATTTCTGGAATCAGGCCAGGAATGGGCCCCCACATGGTGATTTTCAAGGTCTTCCCCCAATTTAACCACCCTGTCCTCTGTCCACATGAGCACAATCACACTTGTCACACCAGCACCTCCATTTGATTTGTGATCCAGAAGATTATCCCTCGGGGTGGGGCTCCTTACTGGGGGCTGTGGCCACATTTTTGCCATAATCATAACAACAGGGTTCCAGTTTGTACCAGGGCTGAGCTAAGCATTTTACATGGATTGTCTCTTAACCAACCAGTTATCAATCCTGCCACCATTCAAGGGGCTGGCAAAACAGATGTCTAGTCAGGAAGACCTGGAAAGTCCTGTAATGCATACAGGTTCCACCCCTGCAAACGGAGAAGCTCTGAAGTTGCTTGGTCTCATTTTGCGATCTGTGGTCTTTATATTGTGCCCAATGGGGTGGGACTTAGGGGCAGTGTATGATTCTTGGATCTGTAAATTGGAATTTTCTTAATGAGATTTGGGGATTTTATCCCTTTTTTCTTCAAAATATCCTTAGGCTTCAGTGTCATTCTTTTCTCCTTCTGGGGTTGAAATTACTTGCATGTTAGCCTTTCTGATATGGTCTCAAAGACTCTTCATTTTTCTTACCTCTTTGTCCCTCTTCTTCAAATTGGGACATATCTTAGGACTGACATGTCTTCAAGTTCATCGACTCTTTCTTCTTCTAGAACCCAGGTTGTGCTGTCTGGACCTCGGGCTCTGTAATCTGAATCTGTCCCCCTACACTGGCTCTCTGGCACCCCATACTGTGGGATTTCCCACTGCTCCTGGAACATGCCCATTTCTGCAGCAGATTCCTTACCTCCTCCCACCCCCCACCCAACTTACTGCCTCTGCCTGGAGCACCCGCTACCCCTAACACTTTATTGAACCCACTGCCAGCTCAGCATCACCAGAGGCCCACAGACCACCCAGTGGCACCCACTTCTCTGCTGAACCCACTTTCCATTCTGGGTTTTAGCCCCCTCTGGAATGATTTCATGCATTGATTTTTCACTCATTCATTTATCCATTGACCTGAAGGGCTCACGAGCCTGGATGCCTCTATTGCCAGCACACAGAATAATCTGCTGCCTCAGCAAATCAGTTCTTGCATGATTACAAAAAGGCAGAAGGTGACAAATTTTCTGCAAAGAGTAAGCATCTCAGGCTTTGCAGCTACATGGTCTCACTCACAATGACTCAACATTGTAAG